CAGTGTCTGTTTTTTGTCATTGTAAATTTCACCTTGAGATTTTGACACACACAGAGTCCCTGCTCGAGTGTGACTCGTGTTTTCTCTGTTCCCTCCCTCAGCCCCATCATGGAGCAGAGTCCGTCTAACGAGAAGCTCTCTGAAACCACCGTCGGTCAGCCTTCCTCCGAGAGACACGGCACCATTGTCGGCGAAGGGCTCGCCACAGCCCAGCTCTGCATGACCGCCTCCTCCATCACCATGGTGCAGCCTCCCTCCCCTGTGCTCTCCTTCAGAGACCAGACCACCTATACGACCGACTCCTCCATCCCCAGGACCGCGGGGCCCAGCTGGGACGTGTACACGAGCCCCGAACCCAAACGGGCCTCCCTGATCTCGCAGCCGGAGAGTTCAGTCGGACGCAAAAGCGAACCTTTTACAATCATGGAAGAATCAGACGAACCCGCCCACAAACAAGTCTACGATGTTCCCATGAGTCCGGAGTGTGCTCCCAAACCAGACTGGCTGGCCGTCGGCAGCCCTGAGGTCTCGCTCGAGCCGGACCTGGACGCCTTCCTGAGTCCCCGTCCGCTCAACAAAGCGGATGCTGTCTCGGACAAGACCCTGGTCGTCCCGATGAGTCCAGAACAGCCACAGTTCTGTTCCGACGTGCCCATGAGCCCGGGGCCGCCGCCGCCGCCGCCGCAGTTCATCTCTGTGGATGAACCCATGATGAGTCCAGACAGAGGGCTGCGGCCGAGCGCCACCGACGTGTCCATGAACGCAGCGACGCCAGCCTGGGCGGCTGCAGCCCGGCTGGTGTCAGATCCCTGGGACGATGAAGTGATCTCTGATCTACTGTCAAACCTCACGCCGCCTCTCACCTCTCACCCCAGCTGCTTCACCTGGCAGTGCAACGTACCCAACATCTCCCCAAAGACGACCATCAGCATGGGTACGGAGAAGAGCTGCGTCTGTTTTTGATGATCTTAAAGACCGATACTGCTCCCTGCGAGGCTACACACTACTTGTTGAGCTGCTGTCAGGAGACCATTAGCCTAGCTTAGCATAGCTAAGCTACAAGCTACACCTCCAGATCTCAGTTTAGGGCGGGGCTTAACACGTCTCTCTTTTGTTTATTCATACAAAAACAGACAGAAAATCACGTTAAAGATTTTATTTTATAGTCATATTATTTTTCACTCTTTATTCTTGTGGTGTGTGTGTTTGTGTGTGTTGGTCAGAGAGTTCAGCCCACACTTAAAAGCTTTTCTTGCTTGTTTCCAACAAAGAAGATGTCCACCAGAAGACGTGTTGCTGAATAGAAAATATTTGCTTTGTGACAGGAAACGCTTCCCTGCGAGTCGACCGTATCCTCGGAGAAGGTGCTTTCGCAACGGTCTACCAGGCTACTGACCCCAAGAGCTCGGAGAAGGTGGTGTTAAAGGTAAGATGGTGGTGGTGGTTGTAGACAAGGACCCAGACCCATCTGTGACATCAGCACAACACGTACAGTTCTTCATGATTTGGTCACACGTGGGGTTTTTTTTTCCCAGCACCAGGTTGTATCTTCAGAGGTATATTTGCTGATGTCTTCTGTCGGCCTAGAAAACCTCTGAAAACAGAGGATTTGTGTTGAAATCATCTGTTGTATTAAATGTTGTTCTCAGTGACGACACAAAATTCCTGTCTGCTTCAAAGTGTAAATATCTTCTCTTGTGACTGCAGGTTCAGAAGCCGGCCAATCCCTGGGAGTTTTACATCAACACTCAGCTGGACGCCCGGCTGAAACCCGACGTCCGTCACCTTTACAGCAGCATCCGCTCAGCTCACCTCTTCCACAACGGCAGTGTGCTGCTGGGTGAGCTTCACAACCACGGCACTCTGCTGGTAAGTGAAGAGCCTTAAACCTGAGTTCTCTCTAGCAGCCAGCAGGGGGCGACTCCAGCGCCAGCAGAGAGAAGTGTGATTGTATAGAAGTCTCTGAGAAAATGTTTGTACTTGTCAGCTGATTTATTCCCTCAGTAAACACTTTCCTGATGAGTTTCTGGTCTCAGTCGCTAGTTTCAAGTCTTCTTCAACACAGCGTGATGTTCATTTAGTAAATTATGGTCCCTTTAGAGGAACAGAGACCAGGAAGCAGGGGAGGCTTTAGGGCGGGGCTACAAGCTGATTGACAAGTCTGTACCTGTCGTTCAGGAGAGAGGCGACTCGTATCTGCTGCTCTGTGAACTTGTTTTTGGGTGCTGTGGGTGTTTCTGTCTAAGAGTTTTGACCCATTCACAGCGTTTTTTCACTTCATCCAAGTTAACTGGAACATTTTGGTCCTAAAAATGTCTTCGGTTGTACTAAAAGAGACTGTAAGGACAAACCAACGTGTGACGTCTCGGCGGCTACGTCTATTATACCGTCTGTGGTTCTCATCACCTCAGAGACTCTGTGGTGGATTTCTGTGGAAAATGTTTTTCTTATCCTACGTACCCTTTAAAACCGTGACTCCGCTTTCAGAACGCAGTGAACATCTATAAAACCCTGAGTGACAAGGTGATGCCTCAGCCTCTCGTCATGTACTTCACCGTCTGTATCCTGCACATGGTGGAGCAGCTGCACAGCGTCCACCTCATCCACGCCGACATCAAACCTGACAACTTCCTGCTTGGAGCGAGGTAGCGATCAGTAACCCGATTCATCAACTTTCTACAAGCTACATTTTGACAGTAAAAACAGATAATTTAAACCAGTAATGGCATCCTTACTGTTGTTGGGTTTTTTTTCAGGTTCTTGGATAACAAGTGTTTTGAGCCGGAGAACACAGGCCACGGCCTTGTCCTCATCGACCTCGGACAGAGCATCGACATGGAGCTTTTCCCAGAAGGCACTGCTTTCACCGCCAAGTGTTTGACCTCAGGCTTCCAGTGTACCGAGATGCTCAGCGGGAAACCCTGGAACTATCAGGTGAGGACGTACCGGATGTCTGTTCATGCAATTACACCGTAAAATTAAAGTTTATTTAGTTTGTTAGGTGTAAAACAAGTGATGTTTATATTAATACAGTAGCAAAGGCAAAGTTCTGGCATTTGTTTTGTAATGTTTACAATGTGATTCACACTTTTAAGCAGGTTTGTTTTAAAGGTCTCACTGTATCTTATGTCCTGTACTTCACACTGTTCTCTGAGGCCTTTTAAACCTTTATAAATTCATAATAAATAAAATTGCCTTGTGTGTGTTTTTAGACGGATTACTTTGGAATAGCAGGGACTGTCTACTGCATGCTGTTTGGGACCTACATGCAGGTCACAAATGAAGGCGGCGCATGGAGGACAAACGGTGTATTTAGAAGGTACTTCCTCCAGACTGTCATGTTTCTTTACAGCGGAGCATTTGCATATTTTCCATCAGTAAAGCAGACCTGTTTGGGCCGTCCACCTGCCATTTTTTGTAAATGCATTACAGCAGGTTTGTACTTTGTTTTAATCTTGAGCCCGGGTTTGCCAGAAGTGGAGTGAAATAAATAATGAGAACTGGATCAAGAGGAGAAAATCGGTCCATGCATCTCCAGTCAAACCTTTAACTCGTAAGCGTAACCAGATCTTCTGCATGTGTCTGTCCCCACAGAAACCCCCACAGCGACTTGTGGCAGGAGTTCTTCCACACTCTGCTGAACGTGCCGGACGGCGGCTCGCTGCCGAGCCTGCGGAGCCTCCGCTGCAAACTGACGTCCGTCCTGCAGCAGAACTACAGCAGCAAACTGCCCACGCTCAAGAGCCGCCTGGTGATTCTGCTGCTGGAGAGCCACAGTGCAGTGAGGAGATGAGAACGCCTGAGACAGACCTCAGTTTAATTTAAAAAATAAAATAAAATTAAAGGTGCGACGAGAGAGAATTTTGCGGAAGGGGATTAGGGCCACATGTGAAAATGTTTTTTGAGTGCTGAGATTAAAGTCAGAATTCTGACTGGCCCTAATCCTCTTCTGCAGAATTTGTACATAGAAAAATGTAATTATATTTACTTGCTTTTTAAATTTCATTTCATCAGCTTCCAAATTGTTTTAACGTTTTTTTGCATTATAATTTTTCTTTGGTAAAGAATAAAAATGGGTTCTCTTGATTTGTTCAACGGGAGTTTATTGAAGCTAGTCCGCACAGATATGCAATATTATCTGATTCAACTGTTTAATTATCTGATGAAACTTTTTATTTCTTTTTTTTTTTTTTTTTACAGAATTGGTGTAGTTGTGAAATAAGCTTTTTAGGATTACAAGTTTTTTAAACGGAGTAAGATTTGGTTACGGTTTGTTATTAAAGGTCTCTACAGTGTGCTCTACAGTATTGTCTCAATATTTGTTGTATTTAATAATTGCTATGGTTCTTTGATATATTCACACTTTACATAAAAAAGAAAGTGAGCAGATTTTGCAATCAATTTTGTCTCAGTTGTTTATAGCTAATTTAAAGTAGGGATGTGCAGATAAAGTCTCTCTTGATGCTACCACCAGATGGCACCAACAGACGCTTTAAAGCTGCACTAATCAATAAATGAGTGTGTAATAAGAAAGAAGTTGCTAACAGCGATGAAGCAACAAGAACTTCTGCCAAACTGCAGTTCTAATGAGCTTTTTAGGTTCTCTGAGCGCCTAGTTTTGTGGTACATTTCCTGTCTGGTGCAGGCTGTGTTCCCAGCTGCTGTTTTCAGTCAGCAGGCAGACACAGTTGGAGGCCAGCAGGTGAACAGAGTGCAGCATTTAGCAGCCGAAGAGCCAGATGTTTCCCTCAGGAGCTGGTGGAGAGCGAGTTTTAGATTCATCGGGACACAAACACGACTCCAGCGGGAGGATCATGTTGCTCCGTGTCTGCTGGATGGCGAGGTAGGCAGCTGTTTGCCAACATAAGCACAACTTTTATTCAATTTAATTCAATTCAGTGCTGATAAGTTCTGAAAAATACAAACAGTAAAAGTAACATTGGTACGGAAAATGAATTGCTGATAATTATAGTAATATTCATGATGATAATAGTACTCGCAGTAGATGTGCAGGAACAGGAGGGCAGCAGGTGAGTCGACCACAGAGCCACAAACACCTGCAGGAAGTGAAAGGAGGAGAGGGTGACTACGGGAAAGGGAAGATGTCAAGTTAGTAACATGCATTAATGGGATGAGGTTGCATACAGAGGGAGAGAAAGAGGAGCTCAGTGCATCATAGGAAATCCCCCGGCAGTCTAGGCCTATAGCAGCATAACTAAGGGATGGTTCAGGACTCACCTGAGCCAGCCCTAACTATAAGCTTTATCAAAGAGGAAAGTCTTAAGCCTACTCTTAAATGTGGAGATGGTGTCTGCCTCCTGAACCCAAACTGGAACCTGGTTCCACAGGAGAGGAGCTTGATAGCTGAACGCTCTGGCTCCTAGTCTACTTTTGGAGACTCTAGGAACCACAAGTAACCCTGCATTCTGGGAGCGCAGTGCTCTGGTGGGGTAGTAAGGTACTATGAGCTCTTTAAGATAAGATGGTGCCTGACCATTAAGAGCTTTGTAGGTAAGAAGAATGATTTTAAATTATATTCTGGATTTTACTGGAAGCCAATGCAAAGAAGCTAAAACAGGAGAAATATGATCTCTTTTCCTGGTTCCTGTCAGAACACGTGCTGCAGCATTCTGGATCAGGGACTTATTCGAGCACTTTGATAATAAAGATATGCAGTAATCCAGCCTTGAAGGAACAAATGCATGGGCTAGTTTTTCATTTGGATGTTGGTGAAAGAAGGCGATCCTTTAAGTTTGGTTTGGTTAAAAGATAAGATTGATTTAGGTTTTATGCCAACCAACCCTCAGACACACACAGTAAGACAAATTATTACTTTTGAATGTGGACACAGCGAACAGGACCGTCATCAGATTTAGTCCAGTTCCACCACCTGAGGCTAAAACCAATCATTGCTTTAAAGCCTATAATTTTAACTGTATTGTGCTGGGATGTTGAACACTAATGTGTGTGTGTAATGCCTGTGTATTTACTGTGAGAGGGCGTGAGGGGGATTAGCTGGATAATATCTGATCCAGTCTGCAGCCTCACTTCACCCACTCATCTTCCCTCACCTCAAATGTCTCTGGTGCCCGCTCAGACCTGCAGCTCAGCTCATGACTGCATTTTTCTTGAGTGCTTTCAAGGTTCTCCGTTCCCCATCCAAACTCATCTTAAAGGTCACATCACTGTTGACAAGCAAGGTGATTATATGATCAGCAACAGGTGATTTTACTTAGTTTATCTGTTATCCTAATGTTGCATACCAGAAGAAGAAGAAGAAATCAGAAAGCTTTATTGCCAAGTAGTGTTTTACACATACGAGGAAGTTGCTTTGGAGATCAGGTGCTACATGCAGACAAACACACAGTTGACATACATAAATGTAAAAATATATGTAATAAAGAAATGCAAGTTTCTAAAAGAGTAGCACAACTATGTGCAGAGAAACAACAACGTGGCACATTATCTAAATATATAAATTGACAAAATATTAAAAAGTGAAAAAGAAAACGAAAATATCCATCTAAAAAACTGCATGACAATGAACAAATTACACTTTTTTATAATATGTCAATTTAATTAAAATGTATCTGTACAGAGCTGTGTGATTATGTATTAACTTCACTTGCATTAGCAGGGTGTTCTTGGACTTCGGACAATAAATAAAGAAGGTAATTAAAATATATATACATTTATGTCTCATTGTATAATTTAATTACTGCCTACATTTATTTATTTACTTTATTTTCTGTGCATTTAAACGGATGCTTATTTATTTATTGAGCATTTACTTATTTATGTATTTATTTCTTAATCTGTCAGGATCAGTCCTCCATACAACATGACATAATAATAGTAATAATAATAATATTTCAATGTGTTGCAGATTAAAAATCTTGTACTTAGGCAGTGAGTAGCAGAACCGGTACTACATGAAGAGCCGGTTCTCCTAATTCACATCACCGCTGCAGGCCTTCCCTCCAAAGCCACTTCCCCAAAACACGTGGTCACAGGTAGGCAGGTAGGTCAGCTGTGTGTATTTACAATCCTGCGACAGCCACAGATACCAGACTAATTTCATTTTTTTATGTCAGAGTATTTGTTTATTGTTGGGATGTAAACAGAATTGCGATAAATTTCTTCTGAAACAAACTGCCCATCTGAGCTTTAAGCTTCTAACTTTGTACAAAGAAACACTTCAGCAGTCACAGTCACTGCTCGGTTGCATCTGGTTTTCCTTTCACAATAGTTCAGTGTGAACCTGAAGGCAGCAGCTGCCCAGTGACCACGCCCCACGAGCAGACACACCTGAAAAAAATCCCGCTGCCTTCAGGTTCTGTCAGAAATGTCTGAACTGGAAACTTCTGACTTTTCTGTGATCATCTGAGATTGTACTATTGTAATGAACTATTTACTGATGTATCCAAAAAAATATATTAATACAAAAATGCAGCAGCAAGAGTGACAGAACTCATCACTCCAGTTTCAACTTCTCTGCACTGACTCCCTGTAGCATTTAGAAGTGATTTTAAAGTTCTTTAACTCTATTTTAAAGCACTTCAGCACCTTCTTATCTATCTGACCTTTTATCTGATTATATTCCAACTCTCTCTCAACTCTCAGGTCCTCTGGTGCTGCTCTGCTTAATGCACCACGAATGAACAGTAAAAGGTTTGTTGAAGAAGCGTTGTGTTTTTGTGCACCAGTGGCTTGGATCAGACTTCTTTTACAAATAAGTGAAGCTTCCTCTATAGAGAGTTTAAGAAGCAGCTCAAGACTTCAATGCTTTTGCATGTAACTGATTAAACACACTTTTATTTATGTATTTATTTTATTAAGCCCTGTTTGCGATCCTTTCTGTTGTTTTGTACTTGTGGCATATGCAGCGGTTTTGTAGGCTTTATTTTATTTTTTTTACTTCTATGTGAATGTACAGCCCTTTGAGATGCATTTTATGTATGAAAGGTGCTCTACAAATAAAGACTAGTATTATTTTTAATAATTAAAAAAAGATACAACTGTATAACAATAAATATATGAATGAAAGTGTTGAGACAACAGTGCAGTGAGTAAAAATGATCCAGGAGGAAGTTATTATTACCATTATTGTTATTATTGTGTGCATGTTGGAGGCAGATGTGATATGCAGGTGCACATACACAATCAAGCATACATGTAGGCTACACATGAACACAGTGTGATGCTAGAATAAATATGTATTAGGTGTGATAAAATAATTAAGGTAAGGAGGTAAGTGGATTTGATATACAGCATTTAGAGTATAACAGTATGAACAGCTCTGAAATAGAGAATGATGAATAAATAATAAGTGGTAGCCACAGGTGGCAGAGTTACTGGGTTATTGCACAGGAATTGTTCCTGACACTGTGAGTCAGAAATCAGCTGTTCATCAGAGTGATGGCTTGTGGGAAGAAGCTGCTTCTGTGTCTGTTGGTTTTGGCGTACAGTGCTCTGTAGCGCCTACCAGAGGGGAGGAGCTGGAACAGGTTGTGTCCGGGGTGAGATGGATCTGCAGTGATGTTTCCTGCCCGTTTCCTGACTCTGGAAATGTATAAGTCCTGAATGGAGGGCAGGTTGGCACCGATGATGTTCTCTGCAGTCCTGACTGTCCGTTGTAGTCTGCTCCTGTCCTTTTTGGTGGCAGATCCAAACCAGACAGTGATGGAGGTGCAGAGGACAGACTGGATGATGGCCAATTTAATGCAGCGTGTGTTTAGTGTTTGTCAGATGCAGACGTTCAACTTCACGTTTAAGATAAGTTGCACAACGGGCCCAGAGATGAAGGCATGGAAACTATGTTTAGGGGGAAACCCAAACCATCTGCATAGAGAGACAAAGACCAACAACAAAAACAAATAAAACAAACTTTTTTTGTAATGAATCCATGTCTTCATACTCAAAAGCACAAAATCACACCTCAGAAGCACAATTTTACGAGCAGCACTTGAAGGCAGCACATAGGTGGAGACCTGAGAGTGTGTAGGAATCTGTAGCTGATTCAGTCTGGTCTCAGAGCCATGGAGGCCAAAGGAGGACTATCAGACGAGGCTGCGTCTGCTGCCTGCAAAGAAGGAAATCCCATCACCAAGGTGAGTGTTTGGTTTTTAATATCAACTTCATGTTGAGAAAGACAGAAGTTGTTTTATTTTACTACTCTGGCAGAAGATCCAGTCTGTGAGGTGGGGTTGCAACGCAGTCAAACCTGTTCACAGTCATTTGTGACTTTAGACCTGCACACGCCTACAGGCCAGACGGCCAGTATGCATACTTTGACATTTTGTTGTGTGTTGAGCTGCAGAAACCTCCACTCTTCAGTGTTACATTAGAATCAGAGCAGGATTTGTGCTCCTATACAGCCTAAAAACGAGGCAGATCACCCAAATCCAAAGTTAGTCATATGTTACCAGGTCATGCAGGTAGTTCCAAAGGATTTTGAAATATCCACATCTGAGATTTCCACCTTAAATCTCACATGACAGTCGAAAAAGTCAACTTGTCTTTCCAGAAAAGGCGTCCAGGATATTCTGGATCATCCGCAGATGCACAGTGCGAGCTTTTCAATAGGAAAGTAGTTCGCAGGGAAGTTTGTAGATGAGCCAGAGAGTTGTTGCTGTTAAATAAAAAACAAAACAATTATTATTTTTTAAAGCACCACCAATGAAATTCCATTAACCTCTACTGAAGGAAGACAAAAATCTCTGTCTGTGAAGGAACTTTTGGAATTGAACCGATCATTCAGGTTTTTATGTAGTGTGTGTGTTATTTGTATTTGTTTAAAGCTGCTCTTTGATGATTTTTTTGTTAACTATGGATGAAGTGTGATGAAATGAAAGGTGTCACTGTACGGAGCTTTTTAGTATTGAGCAGCTAACTCCACCTGATGAATATAAGTATTCTCTTTGTGTTAGCTCTGTTGCTCTTCAGCTGGTCTCTAACTGTGTCTGCCTGCTGCTTCCTGCTGAGCAGCTCCTGTACGGCAACAGCTGCTGGAAACACTGAGGCTCAACATAAACTATGAGCTTAAAAACTTAGAGCTGCAGAGTTGGTGATAACAATGGGAGGATTTGTTCATAGAGAGATCTCGATTAGTGCAGCTTTAAGGTTTAATGTCTCTCGTGATGACTTTGGTTTCTGCAGGACTACATGATGCAGCAGACGATGCTGAGGGTCAAAGAGCCAGCGAGATCTCTGGACTTCTACACCCGAATCCTGGGCATGACGTGAGTCCTCGGTCTGATCCTGCACCCCAGACTTTAACTGTTCTCTGTCAGGAAGCTGTCTATCAACACCAGACTTTATTCCCGCTCTGATCAGCTCCTCTCTCTGTGGGTTTCCAGCTTGCTCCAGAAAATCGACTTTCCTTCGATGCGTTTCACCCACTACATCCTGGGTTACGAGGACAAGTCGGACATCCCGAAGGACATCAAAGAGAGGACAGCGTGGACTTTCTCCTGCAGAGCCACCATAGAGCTCATACAGTACGTGAGACGACCACTGCACCAAATAACGATAATAATAATAATAATAATTATAATTTTTATTTGTAGAGAACTTTTCATAAACAAGTTACAAAGTGCTTTAACAAGTGTAAAGACAATAAAGCACACATCAAAACCAATAGATGATGAAAGCAAGACCACACTTAGGAGACTATAAAATACACGTTTAAATATAAATCACTACAGGACACTTTATGACAGTGAACGTGTTTTTATTTCTCTGTCTGTCAGTAACTGGGGCTCAGAGTCAGATGAGAGTCTGTCCTACCACAATGGGAACACCACGCCGCACGGATTTGGTGAGAAGAAGATGTTTTATGTAGATTTAACTGGTATTAAACAAGTAAACTGCTTTAATATATTATTTTAATAAGCCTACTTAGTAAGGTTTAGTGGATTTAGCTGTATGGTTTCAGTTCCAGATGAGCTGGCTGTTTTCTTTGCGTGTAACCTGCTCTCTTGTTGCAGGTCATATTGGCATCGCTGTTCCTGATGTTTACGCTGCCTGCAAATTTTTTGAAGAGCAAAGAGTAACATTTGTGAAGAAACCGGACTCAGGTGAGTTCTTTTTAGTCACACGTCGGGTAGATACTGTCGCTCTTAAATATTTCAGACGGATTCAAGAATCAGGTTTTTGTTATTTATACCCGTAGTGTCAACGAAAGCGTCACTTTCTGACGCCCTGACCTCCCTTTAACGTTGTTTTTTGCAAATGTAGGGCTCTGCAGTCAAGACAGCACGAATAAATACGCAACTTCGATTAGACTTTCAAAATAAACTAGTGGTTGACATGAAATGTTGCCATTTGGTTAGGTTTAGGAAAAGATTGTGGTTTGATTTAAAGTAACTAGGTTACTCACGTGAAGTAACTTAAGTTTCTTTACTTACTGTGTAGCATAACTAAAAATGGAGCTTCATGGCTCAGACAGGAGACATCAGGCTGTGAGACACGCAGGACTTGTTTTTTTGTCTTGTCATGGAATTTGATGACAAAAAGAAAATAAATAAAGCTGGAGGAAGAATTCAGAAATTTACAGGACAGGACTTTGATGCAACATGTTTTATATGTTTGGGGTTTTACTGTAGATTGAGGACTGTTTCACATCCACTGATTTTACTGAGAACAGTAACCTTGGTTTATATATATATGTTTCATCTCTTGAGTTTCGTCTGTTTTCCTTGTGGATTCATGTCTGTTAGCAACTAACAGTCAAACAAAGCAGCCTGTAAATCCAGTCTGGAAATCAGGGCTTGAAAAAGTCTAGATTTTTAAATGTTTAATATTGTATATTTAGTGTTCAGAGTTTTATTTTTCTTTAATAAATGTCTCTACGTCTCCCACGCGCGTTGCTGTTGGATGATCTAAGTTTCCACCAGGAGGTGGAGCTCAGATTCAGCTGGAGCTCAGGCAGGTTGTGCGTTTGAAAGGTTTGTGGGCTCGAGGTACTTGTGGTTACTCGTGTTGTGGTGACAGTCACAGAAAGATTTAGAGTTAAACTTCAGGTCTGGATCTAGTCTTCAGGGAATTTAGGAGGTCAGTGTGTGTGTGTGTGTGTTTGCCATGATATTAACTACCACTACTTTCCTGTCTCACAGGTAAAATGAAGGACCTGGCCTTCATTCAGGACCCTGACGGCTACTATATTGAGATTTTTAGTCCAAAAAAAATGGTGTCCTTAATGTCACCTTAACACAGAGACATGCTGGGAAACATTGAGGGCATCGCGGTTGGATAACGCTGCTGAATCGCTGCTATGACTTCGTTTATATGAGAGCCCTTTGACACCTGCATTTAAACTCTGATCTACGTCCAGCTCCTGTTGTTATGTTGCTCAGCGACTTATCTGGCTTCTCCTTTTCTAAAAAACAAACACACAAAGTTTTTGTCTGTCATGAACATGCTAACATGCCGACGTTCAGCAGGTATTTGTCATGTTCACCGTCTTAGTTTACTGTGTTAACTTGCTAACGTTTGCTAATGAGCACTAAACACAGATTGAGTGGGTTGCACATGAATGAAATGTAGGGGAGAGCGGGGTGAGGTGAGCCAGTTTTTACTTGAAGCGTCTTTAAAGCGAGGACATGACAGTAATGTCTCCAACTAAAATATGTGCATATATTTTAGGATGTGGTGCGTCCCTGGGAATAATCAGTTTAGATCTAAAATAAACTGTTTTCAAAATATGGCTTTCCAAAAAAAGAGTGGACTCTCGGCTGAACTTGCCCCACATGAGGGGTAGGATGAGCCACACTAATGTCATTTCATCGTGCAAACTGACCATTAAATTGCACTTAGATAATAAAACACCGCAGCCATGTCTCCTGGTTGTTTCACATCCGTGTATCACTTTAAAGCCATCCTGCTGATCGTCATGTCTCGTGCCAGCTGATGAACGGACTTCCCCTTTTTGTTCCTCTCCCACTGCGCTGTCCAAACCCACAAGAGGAGTTGAAGCCGGTCTGACTTCCATTTATAGAAGCATGACATGATGGTTTCTGCTCTAAAATGCATGATGTCGCATCATTTCGGCGATGCAGAAGGATGTAAAGTAAAATAGCAGTAAAATATCAGGCTCAACTTCCCCCAGGTCTTTTGGCTCAAATGACCCCGTCCCTGCCATTTTAACAAATTTGTGTCATCCAGCAGTTTAAGAGTAACGTCATGCAACAGTATAGCCTCATATTGTAACTTCCTAAAGCTCTAACACATGCGTAAGATTTTCTCTAAACATAAAAACACAGTTTTTTGATCTTTAATGTTCTTATGAATTATTCTATGGGCCTCTCTCCATCACAGGGTGAGTAAAATGATTAACTCTGTATGCTCTGTAAAAAATCTGTATTCATATAAGCAGTTTTGTCTATGGTTGCCCAGAAACAAGAGGCGGCTCAGTGCTCCTCTAGTGGAAATACTACCCAGGTTTTACTTCGTGGTAATTTGATGAAACACAACTTTATTTAATAAATTATCTAAAAATCATATTGCTGCCTTAAATAAAAGGCCTCGCTGAACTGGCCTGAGGGTGAACTGTTGTTCTCTGATGTGTGCAGTGTGGTAAAAACTAATCTCTCCTTGGGGACAATTAAGTCTAAATACAGCATGTGAGCACAGTGTACGCTAAAATACTGACAGAGGTCCAAGAGATTTTGTAATAATGCACAACCCATATTTTACATTTAGTGGTGCAAGTTCCTACTAACTAACTAAACTGACACACAGTGAACTGTTGCTTTTGGGGCAGTTGCACAGTTTGCCTGGTTGGTAATGCAGCGATAAAGTTGCGTCTTAATTCCAGACATTAAACCATGCTGACCCCAAACATGCTAATCGAGCATTTTACTACTTTAACCAAAAACTATAAAAATCTTTCACTCTAAGCAATTGCATAACTTATCTTAAGGCTCCCCTTAATGTAAATATACAGTGTGTGTGTGTGTGTGTGTGTGTGTGTGTGTATATATATATATATATATATATATAAATTGAACACAATAAAAATAGTTACATCTTATTTTAAAAGACAAAAAAATTAGATCAATTTAGGCCAGAATGGCTTTGATCAAATAACTTCAAAAGTTGTGATGAAACAGAGGATAATTTTACTTCAGTGAGAAGAGGGGCAGCCAGAAGAAATGTTGTTTTTTTATTTAACCGGTGTGGTGAACAAGAGAGATGAAAAAAAAGAGTAATTTTTATCCAACAATATTTACACTGTTTGAAATAAACAACTTGATAGCACGTCTTCATCAAGGCTTTTGTGCAAAGGGAATTAAAGGCCTGTTGATTGAAGCGAATAAAAACCCGAGCTGTTAATTAAAGTTTTACGTTAAACATCCAAGCAGCTCAGTTGCATTGTAGATCATGTAGGCGCCGGGATTTGACAAGAACGTGTGGAATAAAAAAAAGACGTTATTTCAGCTTCAGCGGTTTTGATAATTTCTTAAAACATGGAGGACAGTGAAAAACTTTCAAACACCAAATCAGTGCTCACTGTCTGCGGGCCAAAGCTAATTAAAAAGTGTTTCAACTGGAAATCATGATTCAAACGGTCCTTATAGAAAACCCTGTCTCTGACTCTGTTCTCCTGATTTGCTTTCTGTCCTCCAGTTTGTTATCCGTCCTGTTTTGTCTGCCTCTCTGTGTGTCTGCATGTAAAGCGCTGACCGGCTCATGTCACCCAATTTACCGCCGGTCACATCAAAGCGGCGTCCCGGCGTGAGAACCGTGTCGGCTGACCGGGGCGGATTTACGGCCTGCGAGGCTGTTCCCAGGCCTGTCAGCCTTTAATCCTCCATTCAGCTGGAAATGACGCCGTGTTCTTCTCTGGGAGGATTTAACGGGTGCAACAGTGATTTCAGTGTGTAAATCAACTGCAAGATGAAAGCAAAGGAGACGTGGATTAACGTGTGTGTGTGTGTGTGCCGTTTGATTCTGCAGCACTTTCCCAACTTGGTTACTCATAGATACCTTTTAGTTAAAGGCACAAGAAGTGAAAAACGTTCAGGAGCTTTCTTTCATACCACATGATCTTCCACAGCAGATGGAGTTTGTAGTTCTTCTGAAGACTTTACCTGAGCTTTTAAAGCCAACCTGGTCCTTTTAAAGTGCTCAGAAAGAAATCTGCATGACCACGTGACAGATTCGATCTCCTGTGGAAGATCTGTGATATGATCAAAAGCTCCAACGAGCTACTAAATGGACCTTGTGGTGAGACTGTTGACTGACAATGAACTTTGAAGCTGGTTCAATCGTGTTTCCCAGCTTGCATAGAAGTGTTGAATGTTGCTCGAGGGCAGTTTAAAAGAAACAAGCTTAAACAACAAGCTTAAAATTAAAGTGAACAGCCGACTTTTTCAACGGCGCTGGTTAAATGTACACAGTGCCGTGGGTACGAGTCACTGTAGATCCCAGCCTGAAGCCCCCCCTGCTTCCTGGTCTCTGTTCCTCTAAATGGGACCATAATTTACTAAATGACCATCACGCTGTGTTGAAGAAGACTTGAAACTAGCGACTGAGACCATAAACTCATCAGGAAAGTGTTTACTGAGGGAATAAATCAGCTGACAAGTAGTAACATTTTACCATAATTTCTAAAGTCGCCCCCTGCTGGACGTTCGACAGAATGCAGGTTTAATGGACTTCCGTTTAAGGTTCGCGTCTCAGACCGGATGCTTCCAGCTTGTTTCAGACGGGCGGCAACCTCCAGGTCTGAAAAGTGAAGCCAATACATAAGTGTTTTAAACCTGCATTCTTTCTAATGCCCAGCAGGGGGCGACTCCACTGGCTGCAAGAAGACGTCCGATTGCGTTGGGCTTAATGGCCCAACCGGCCCAGGTTTTGCTTAAGGGCGAGGCTTTTTAGTGATGGTCCATACCACAGAACAGATAATGCAGCAGCTTATTACGAGCCAGCGACCTCTAGTGGCAGAAGAAGTCAGGTGACGTAGTTTAAAGAGCGACAAAGTCTGTGTAAGAAGGTGGTGAGGTGGATGACGCCAATTAAGCACACTTTACTCAGAAGATCCAGACGGTTTGGGAAACCAGACAATCGACAATTGACCCTTCGCTAAGCCACGCCCCGAATACACAGCTGGCCAATCACAGCGCAGTGTAGGACTCGCTCTAACTGAGGTCCGATGCTTTCATGGCTGCGCTACTTTGACTTTAATGCAAAAAGAGTTGTTTTCTTTCCTTTTTTTTGGCCGTATTTTTCTAAGATCTGGTCAAACGCTGTTTCTGGGGCATCTTGTAATAGTTACAGTCGCTACCCAGAGAGGTTGAAATGAGAAATACGATTTATTCTCTTTCCAAAACCTAAAATAAATCCAGATAAATGTCGGCTGTGGATTGTTCCTAATGTGATGTTACTTAGCTGAGCCCCACTGTTCTGCTTTTTAATAACGAATAGAGGCCTAACCAGCTGTACAGGAACCGTGTTGATCGTTCATGTGTGATTGGTCTATTTTTCATTTTTTTCAGTCAGTCTGAATACAACCTTCAAATGTATAATGCAGCTGCAAAACTGCTTCTTTCTGAGATCGCGTGTCCCAACAAATTTGACAATATTTCTCCGGGGAGTGCAGCGGCGACAGTTTGTAGTCCACAACCAGAGACCAGAATAGCTGTTTGCCCCTGTTTCCAGTCTTTATACTAAGATAATCTCCTCCTCTAACTTCATACTCTCAGCAAGTAAACAGGCAAGTGTACTGAACTGTTCCTTCAAGGAGATAAAAGTTACAAACACACTGGAGTTTTAGATTTCAGGCTTTGAAGCTGTACAAAGCAGAACAAATCATTTTAAAAACATCCAACAGAAATCATAAAAACAGCTGCCCTTTTCACGACTGCAGCAATTTTGTTACTTTTGTATGTTTATTTGTAAAAAGGCACACAGAGAATCAGAGAGGTTTGATGGTGAATTCAGTTTTTACATGTAAAGCACAAATAACAAAAACAGTGGAAAAGGTTTAGTGTTTTTTTAATCTTCACCCCAGTCTGAGCACACGGTTATCTGAGATTATACTGGTTTTATTCTCAGTTAATAGATTATCTTCAAAAAGTGTCCATTCTTGTTAGTTTGGTTAAACATCAGTGAACTGATTATCTCTTCATCGGGTGTAATTATACTTTTTGTTATTGTTAGAAATATCCCATGAAAATGACTTAAAACCAACAACGTGTTTGTCCGCCCCTTAAAACGTTCTGACTTCCTGTCCGCGGCTCTCAGCAAACACCTCACAGATATGTAGTTTCATGTTTAATAAAGTTTCAGTAAATTTCCTAAGCAGCTGCTCACTGTTATCAAACAGGAAGAAATAGTGCGTTTGTTGGGGACTATTTTCAGCGGCGGATGAATCCACGTCTGGTGCTGTAGTGAGTATTTGGGTACTTGTTATAGTTCTGTTTGGGTCTCATCGTGTGTTCAGTTTAGAAGGACTGAACTGGGATTTGATGACAATAAGAAAAATTCAGACTTCAGTGGAGGGATTTAAAACACATCGTCACTCCCGACTCGTCACATATTGACGCTTGGTCAAAGCCATTTGGCGTCGCTTTTTAACGCCCTGGGTGCCCCTTAAGCATCACTTTAAAGGCTCCAACAAACAACAAATATGCAACGTCCGGTTAGACTTTCAAAATAAAACATTAGCATTTTGAAACGGCACCTTATTAAAATCGTGAAACGTTACAGCTCGGTTAGTTTTAGCCACAAAAACTACTTGGTCAAAGTTAGAAAAAGGTCACGGTTTGGGTTAACGTAAGTCCCTTGCGTAACTTACCCAATTTACGTAACTCATGTAACTTCAATAAAAATATTTAATGTTGACTTTTTGTTTCACACGGGACACGAACCCCGTTGTCATGGTTTAAAGTCCGGGTTCTGGCCCTCCATCCACGTCCTTACTCAGTCTTTTCTGTTAAATATCATATACCTGCCTTTACCGTCAAAAACTGACGGCGATGGGTCTTGACCATGTGTCCGTCTGTGACGAGAGTGAGAACGGGTTGGGATTTAAGGTTCCTCAACAGTAAGCGAGTTTTAAATCTCAAGAACGAAACATCCACTGAAGTTGATGTTAAAACAGGTCAGGAACTCTGACTAGAAAGAAGAAAGGCCACAAATTAAGCCGTACGTTTCTGTTCTCGGGGTCGAAGTGTCAGAACTGGTCACTTTGTGAAATCAGCAGGTGGAACAAGTTGTTAGAACTGTTTGCTCGGGTCAAGTGTTAAAAACCAGCTGGTAAATCTCTGTTTGTAAGTCATGAGTTCACTTGGCTGTTAAAACTGACAGTTAGCGGGGAAACAGTCAGAAAGCTCCGACCTCGGTTCCCCACGGTCTGTAGGGTTTACTGCTGCTGCTGCTGCTGCTGCTGTGAGGAGTCTGGGAGGAGGAGGAGGAGGAGGAGGAGGAGATGGGAGGACTGGCAGTGGCGGCGGAGGAGGTGAAGGAGGAGGGAGGGAGGACGGGGAAACCTCCGTGGAGGGTGATGGGAAACGACGCAGAGAGGGAGAGGAGGGAGGTGGAGAGAGGAGCGGAGGTGCAGGGGAGCACGAGAGAGGAGGAGGAGGAGGAGGAGGAGGAAGGAGAGGAGGAGGAGTCTGCGTAGGAGGAAAATGAAGAGGCTACACTGCGTTTTGACAACTCCACCAGCCTCTGGGGGGCTCCACCTCCTCCGGCATCAGGAGAAACCGGAAGCCCGCTCAGTCCGTACTGCGCCATGGCGGCCGGCAGAGGCCTGAAGGCAGCGGCGGTGGCGACGGCAGCGGCCGCAGCGGCCCAGTGATGGGAGGGGAAGGGGTGAGGTAAAGGGTGAGGCTGCTGCTGGTGGTGATGGTGCGAGTGGGAGGTCATGGTGAGGGCCGCGGCGTCGCGCTGCGAGGCGCAGGAGGCGAGGTGGGAGAGGAGGCGGGAGCGCAGCGGGTCGATGGAGTCCAGGCCCTCCACGGCGCTCAGGTAGCGGGAAACCTCCGTCACACACTCCCTAAAACCCAGAGACAGGAAGTCCAGGGCCAGAGCGTGGGCGTCAAAATAACCTACAGACACACAGAGAGATGGTCAAATACGGTATGTTAGATCAATACAGTTTCCATAACGACAGGCTGATAAAAGTGCTTTCATGATGTTTTTTTTTAATATTTCTCGGTGTTCAGATACTGAAACATCTGCTTCAGTGAACTAAAATCTTACAATGCTCACAATATACTCGCTTATTTAACTAACGCGTGCAGTCTGCAGATGACGAGCTGATGGGCGCCCCGTACCACACAACAACTTTTGTAGTCAGAGGTCACCAAGTATTCCAGAGCAAAACACAACAGCAGGCCATCGAAACGCTCAAACACAGACCCACACGATTCTGAACCAGAACCAAAGACGCTATCATAAAAGTCTGCGTTATCATCTGTAATTCTTATCATTTCAAGTTTAAGTTTCTACTTCTTTTAGCAAAGTTCTCCTTTCCTCCTGCTCATGTTTACTGTGAACGAAATGTAATCTGCGTTCAATAAAGCCGTAGTCATACACTGCTGGGGAATTGGGAATCTTTGGGTCTCTGTAAATAATATCAAACAGAGAACTGTCTAGACCTGCTCTATATAAAAAGTGCAATAAGTTGACTTTTGTTATGAATTGGCGCTATATAAATAAAACTGAATACACTTGAAATAACAAACCTAGATTTTAACATTTACCTAGCCAGGTGAAACTCCTGGACTCCAGAGTGAAAACAAATATCATGCTTATTGTAGAAAGACTCACAAAATACTTGAAATGAAATTATAAACTCTATATTGATGTCAGGGCGGCACGGTGGTGCAGTGGTTAGCACTGTTGCCTCACAGCAAGAAGGTCGCGGGTTCTCCCTCCGTCCAAAGACATGCGGCCTAGGTGAGCGTGACTGGTTGTTTGTCTATGTGTGGCCCTGCGATGGACTGGCGACCTGTCCAGGGTGTACCCCGCCTTTCACCCGATGTCAGCTGGGATTGGCTCCAGCCCCCCCCGCGACCCTGTACGCAGGATAAGCGGTTGACGATGGCTGGATGGATATTAATGTCAAAATCTGTATCTACAATAACTAATCCTCAGTTTCACTGCTCATGCCTAAGCACCGGTGTTAGCTGACAATTACATAAAACATGAAATGACATAATGGTAATGAGAGGGTGGGCTCTCAGCTAGCTAACATCAAATAAATGCTAATTACGAAACTCTGAAGGTAGGAAAGATGAGTGTATTAAAACTACTGATTTAACCTACAGTGTCTCCATTAGCATGTGATGCACTCAGCTGGATGCAGGCAGATAAGACGTTCAACTAACGGCAAGGTTAGGAAATGGCACGGCCCATTTTAGGGGTGTCAGAAATCGTACTTCAAGATTCCTGAATTTAAGGCGTGAATATGGGAAATATATTGTAATATTACAATAACAGGTAAGAAAGACCCCCCTGAACTGTTGTTTTTGCCTCTGTTGGGCGGGTCCAAGCTTTAATTAGGTGGGGTCCGACCCCCCGAATCCCCATGTAATTCAAACCATGCCCGTGGGAAAGGAAGTCAAAGGTAATGACTTACTGTATGTGCCGAGACTTACGTAATGTACTTATTTAAAATCCTTTCCTAAACTTAATCAAACTGCGACTGTTGCACAAAGTTAAACGGTGTTAAACGTCACGTGACATACCGAAGATCTAGTACGCCTGTCCCTGGACTAGGACTTTCAGACGGTCTTATATGTAATTTTGGGAAACCTGACAATCGACAATTGACCCTCCCAAAACTGTTGTTTTTGCCTCTTTTGGGGGGCCTTAATTAGCGGGGTCAGACCTCCCCAATCTCCCCTGTAATTCCAACCATGGTTAGGCCTGTAGTCTTTCCCAGTATTGGGGTCACAGAAACCTCACAAAGGTGAAGTTTGTGATCTTAACCGAACTTTTGTCATGCGAGTCATTGAACTACGTTTCCCAGAATTCCTCCAAAAGGTCCCACACTCAGCCCGGAGACCCAGCTGCAACCTCGATTGGTCAGTGACCTGTGACCTCAGACACCTAAAGGTCTGTTCTCTCTCTCTCGTTCCACCCTCTTCATCTCGACTCCCTCGGTTACGCTCCACATCTGGACGGACCCGCCAGCCACAGCGGCCTCCCAGCTTGGACCCTCAGACCGGACACCAAGCAGAACGTTGTGATCTCACAGCCGCGACACAAGGTCCTACTTTAGATACTCTATATGGATAAAAGTACTGGGACACCTACACATTACTTTTATGACATCCCATTCTAAAACCATAGACAGTGATATAGAGCTGGTCCCCCCTGTGCAACAGCTTCCCCTCTTCTGGGAAGGCTTTCAGCAGGATTTTGGAGATTGTCTGTAGGAAATGTTTCCCATTCATTTTGATGTTGGACGAGAGGGTCTGGCCCGCTATCTACGTTCTCGTTCATCCCAAAGGTGTTGGATCAGGGATCTGTGCGGGCCAGTCAGGTTCCTCTACACCAAACTGGGAAAACCATTTCTTTATGGAGCTGGCTTTGTGCACGGGGGCATAGAGGAACAACATGGGACCTTATTTCGGAAACAATATGTACGGTAGTCAATGGCGAGAGACAACTTGCTTTTTGATCCTGTTTGAACTGAGCCCCGAGTTACACATATGATGTTTGTCAAGTTAAAAGATAATTTTGTCCGTAAAGAAAGTTGCATTTTGTCATAAATCAGTAAAGTTACATGTCGTTACATGTCGTGAAAACAATGTACTACATCTCTCATCTCGCACAATATACATCACCGACACTTTAGCGCGGTAATGCTAAGCTAACGTTCATTGCTTGGTTGCTGCTAATTAGATAACTTAGCTGTGTTCCATGCAGAAATATATCTCACCCGATGTGTTTAATCCAACGACTCTCAAGCCCTTTTACCACATCATCCACACCTGGGCGTTCTGCGACGTTAGCTTCAGTAACGTTAGCTTCAGTGACGTTAGCTTCAGTAACGTTAGCTTCAGTGACGTTAGCTTCATTAACGTTAGCTTCAGTGACATTAGGCTTCAGTGACGTTAGTTTCAGTGACGTTAGCTTCAGTGACGTTAGTTTCAGTGACGTTAGCTTCATTAACGTTAGCTTCAGTGACATTAGGCTTCAGTGAAGTTAGTTTCAGTGACGTTAGCTTCAGTGACGTTAGTTTCAGTGACGTTAGCTTCAGTGACGTTAGCTTCAGTGATGTTAGCTTCATTAACGTTAGCTTCATTAACGTTAGCTTCAGTGCCGTTAGCTTCAGTGACATTAGGCTTCAGTGACGTTAGCTTTAGTGACGTTAGCTTTAGTGACGTTAGCTTCAGTGACGTTAGTTTCAGTGACGTTAGCTTCAGTAATATTAGCTTCAGTGATGTTAGCTTCATTAACGTTAGCTTCAGTGACGTTAGCTTCATTGACGTTAGCTTCAGTGACGTTAGTTTCAGTGACGTTAGCTTCAGTGACGTTAGCTTCAGTGACGTTAGCTTTAGTGACGTTAGCTTCAGTGACGTTAGCTTCAGTGACGTTAGCTTCAGTGACGTTAGCTTCATTAACGTTAGCTTCAGTGACATTAGGCTTCAGTGACGTTAGTTTCAGTGACGTTAGCTTCAGTGACATTAGTTTCAGTGACGTTAGCTTCATTAACGTTAGCTTCAGTGACATTAGGCTTCAGTGAAGTTAGTTTCAGTGACGTTAGCTTCAGTGACGTTAGTTTCAGTGACGTTAGCTTCAGTAACATTAGCTTCAGTGACGTTAGTTTCAGTGACGTTAGCTTCAGTAATGTTAGCTTCAGTGATGTTAGCTTCATTAACGTTAGCTTCAGTGCCGTTAGCTTCATTAACGTTAGCTTCAGTGACATTAGGCTTCAGTGACGTTAGCTTCAGTGACGTTAGCTTCAGTGACGTTAGCTTCAGTGACGTTAGCTTCAGTAATATTAGCTTCAGTGATGTTAGCTTCATTAACGTTAGCTTCAGTGACGTTAGCTTCAGTGACGTTAGCTTCAGTAACGTTAGCTTCAGTGACATTAGGCTTCAGTGACGTTAGCTTCAGTGACGTTAGCTTCAGTGACGTTAGTTTCAGTGACGTTAGCTTCAGTGCCGTTAGCTTTAGTGACGTTAGCTTCAGTGACATTAGGCTTCAGTGACGTTAGCTTCAGTGACGTTAGCTTCAGTGACGTTAGTTTCAGTGACGTTAGCTTCAGTCATTGAGAGCAAAAGTTACGTCACATACGCTTTTGGGTTTGTGGTCTTTGTAATTACGTATTTTCACAGTCTTATACCTCAACTTTTAAATCTTTATTGTAAATCAGAGCACAATTTAAACAGGATCAATAAATTAGTTGTCTCTTGCCGTTGACTACCGTACATATTTTGTAAGGTCCCATGGTGGTCCACTGAAAGGGGAGGGACTTAGGCTCTCTACTGTCACAAGGCCAAACACAAACTGAAAGTCTTAAATGCTGGAGCATCAAGATTTCCCTTAACAAAGACCACACCATGAAAAGACAGCCCCTTTTGTGTCATTGGTTTACCTGAACCCAGTTCAGTTGACTCTAAGGAGAACAGACAGAGCGGCCGGACCTCACAACACAGAGAAGACTAAACGACTCCTCGCCGCCTGGCCCCACAGCGGACCTGCCAGCTAACATCTAGCATGGACTGGTAACGAACCTGGGCACCGCGCAGCGTCACATAGCTCAGCTGCAACATTAACATGGCTAAGCACAGGACTGTGTAGCTTCTGCAAATAAGATTATGTAACAGCACTTCTCAGCCACTGATAAATCGGTAACAGATGCTAACTAACTTCTTTTAACTTGGCACCTTTACACAGAAATACAGATTCTATTTGGCCTTAACCACCCTCTGTTTTACCACATGTGCTCCTGCGCACTCACATGGAATAAATAAATAATAAATAACTGCTTTTGTATATACATGCTGGTTTTATCAATCTCTTCCATGTAGCACTAATTAATGGTTTATTTTTGTATATTTAAAGAGAATGAATTAGCTAATTAGCTCTCAATTTCTCTTATTTCAAGACAGGTACCTGAGGATGATGTAACTTGAATTATTAGCCTAATTATTGAATAATAGTAATCGTAATAATTGTTACATTATTAAATATAAATCTTGATTAGCACCATTTTCATTCTATTTTATTGTTGTCTTTTATGATTTTAATGTTCTTATCTTCTGTGAAAGCACTGTTTTGATAAGAGCTCTACAAATAAAGTTTGTTATTATTACACTAAATCGTCCTTGACGTGAATGAGGTCAGCTACAGGAGAACGTTCTTTCCACAGCTGGAAGCAGCTACTGCCTTTATTGTGTCACAGTCTGAGAATCTAAAAATAGAAATGATAAAAATGAGTCATGCTTTTATCCAAAGCAACCTCCAAAAGTAAAAAGACATTTATTACACTTCCAGAGTAACTTGCCCAACACAGATCCACGCTGCTGCTGGTGAACCCAAACAAACGCTGCAGAGAGACGGCCTGTGAACGCAGCCAACGCCAACCCCCCCTCACCACCACCGCCATGATGGCTTTATGAAAGCAAACACTGCTGCTCAGGGTCAAGTGGTGCTTTTCTCCCTGCAGCGCTTTCCCATGGACTCAACACCTCCCTCTGTCACACACTCACACAATAACTGACGGGCTGTTTGACTGACGGGCCACACCAAACCAACCTGACTTCAAAGAACGAGCAACGGGCTGCACTTCAACGCAATATAAAGACAACGACCAGCAGCCTGCACGTTCTGAGCGGAGATACCTGCTGTTAAGTACTTTGTACTGCAAAGATCACAGAGAGACAAACACATTAAACTGAGAACAGGTTTTGCTTTGCAGCTTTTGTTGGTGGATGAAGTAAACACGTGAGAGGCAACACAACGCGACAACTGTGAGCGATGGTCAACGCACACACAGCGCAGATCTGAAGGAGATATAGTTGTTTAAGTGTTAATGTATACTCTGCTCACCTTTCCCTCCTGTAGCCTGCAGCACCTTCAGATGGTCCACAGTCATCTGCAGAATCTCAGCCTTCTCCAGTTTAGCTGAACCCTGATGAAAGAAACCAGACGTTACAGAAGGGTGCAGCTGAAAGATGGAAAGCTCAGCAGCTCTTTATTGTGTACAAACACAACAGCAGCTGGATTCTCTGGTTAATGCACCTTTAATACATCCAGACTGAATAAAGCCGGTCAAATAAATGAAATGTTAGAATACATGGTGGTTTTTTGCAGATGTTGAGCATTGTTCCCAGATCACAGTTAGGTAAAAAAAGGCATTCTTTTACGACATCAGGCAGCTTTGCTCTGCAAGAATGGGAATAATTGGTGGCAATAATCATCACTGCTAAAAGCTCATTCATTTTGTGATGATATATCAAGTTTGTCTGAAGTAGTCCATAAAAGTGGAACACAGTTTATTGCTGTTTCCCGATGTACAAGTCTTTCTCTCGCTATGGTTTGCAGACAGTTCTCTTGTTCTCTTGTTCAAAACAGTGGGAACACATTGATCCATTAATGACATAGCTATCAAGCTTGTTCAGATATTTTCATTGCACAGAGTGAAACGAACTTGTGGTGTTTTCCCACATAACGAATAAAACAACCATGACAGCAAATTTAAAAAAGGTTTATCTGAAGGTCTACCCCGTGTCGTCCCCTAACCTGGGAGAAACCACTTTGCTTTAGAAAGACTGGCCTAAAGGATTTATTTATTGGTTCTGTTTGGGTCCTGATGAACTTCTGGGTTGGTTCTACAGAAACAAACAGATTCTCACCTGCTTCTCGAAGGCTGTGGGGACGAGCCGCCGTAATTCCAGCAGACTGTTGTTGATTCTGTCTCTGCGTCTCTTCTCGATGATCTAATAAATAAAAGGAAACTATTAAAAACCCCAAAGTATCTCTGAACTGTAAATCCTTTTCCTTTATTAATACAAGTAATAACTTTTACCCCTCTGCGTTTCTTCCTCGCCATCACTTGAGTGGTGGTGGTCGGTGATCCGCACCTTATAAAGGACGCCTTCGTGTGCCTGAAAAAAGCAAACCAAAATAATAATTCAATCAATACATGAAATAATGTTAATATAATAATATTGACCCACAGAAGAGGATCCTGCTGCTACAAAATGCTCATCGTGTATCATGTTCTCTGTTGTATCAGTGTTGTCTTGTGTTTGCACATGTGCAAGCACTTTGTAAAATGCTTTTTTAAAAGTGTTCTATAAATTAAGATGACTATTATTATTATTATTATTATTATTATTATAATTAAAAGTGGGCAAATAAGACAAAGGAAATCTGCAGCCACTGGACGAAAGACAACTAGTATTTTATTCAGTAAGAAGTTCTTCAAATGTGTGGATTTTTCTGTGTTTTATGGACATTTTGGGGAAATAATCACTCAGGATTTTGTAGAAAATCAATCAGTTGTGGAATATTGAATATCTGGAAAAACATTTTTGTGGTTTGTTTTTTTCCCAGACACCACATCCAGATGTTGCCAGTAGCTGTAGTAGAGTTTTGACTGCAGCAAATACGAGTAGTGGAATGTAACACAAGTACTTTTCTGAATTACAGTTTTGACATAGGCCTACTTGTACTTACGTATTTCCATTTTCTGTTACTTTATACTCCACTACATGTATTTGACATACATTATATGATGCAGTACTGTTCTACAAATCTACCCAGTACTATACAAAGTATTTAAATTGGGCAACATTAAAATGCTCTTTCATGTATTTGCAGTGAATAATATAATATTCTATAATAATATAACACTGTGAAAGGAGCGTGTACTTTTACTTTTGATCCTTTTTGTTGATAATATCTCCGTAGTCACGTTTTGATGGTGTTTCTACTTTTAAGTAATTAAAGGAGTACTTCCTCCACTGCCAGCAAATGTTTTTAAAAAGCAGGAAATGTGTAACGACATTTTGCAAAGATGAAATATGACCCATCTTCTTCTTCTCTGGTGGATTTGTTCCTCTGAAGGGAGCGGACATGATGATCACTTCAGACACCAGGAGGAGTTTCGTGTGTCTCTCTCCTCTCATCGTCTTTTCTGTACTTTATATTCTGCTACTAACTACTATTCAATTACTGTTGTACAAATCTAAGGTACTTGTACTTTCCTACACATTATGCTACTTTAGTGTTCCGCCTTATTTCAAAGGGAAATATTGTAGCTGCACAGTTTATGAAATTTGAGGCATTGAGATTAAACCCATAGTCAAAAATATATAGTATTAATACATAGTATAAAATAGTCAAAAGTACCTAAATTATCATCAGTTGTAATAATATAATAATATAATAATATAGTATAAGACTCTTTCTGCTTTATGATACTTTAAGTACATGTTGCTAATAATACTTACACCTTTTTACAGTAAGGCCGTTAACTTGTAGTGGAGTATTTTCACTCTGTGGTGCTTTTATTTAATCTGATAACTTCTTCCAACACTGTTTTCCACCTGCCTCTTTTGAAGAGACCCCCCTTTTTGTTGGAGGTTGGAAGTGGATTCTGGGAAATGTAGGACATGCAAGAAGTGAGTAGTTTAAGTGTAGATGTAGAGGAGTTATAATACTTCTTCACAAAATGACTTTAACGTCAGTCCAGCTGAACCTCACAGACTGATGATATGGAACATTAAAAGCATTAAAAACATGTTTTTTATTCCTTCTAATCGACCAGTTAATCAGTTTCCTTCTTATCTATTACAGTTACTGTATTTGGAGAGTGCTGGAGATGTGCTTTAACTTTCATACTAGTAAGCAGTATTTAGAAAATGTTTTTTAATTTATGTTTATCTTTTAGTTTACAAGAATACTAGATTAAAAAAGACAAATGAGGAAGAATGTGTGGTTTGGAGCCTGTATATTATACAGATTGATCTATTTAAATGGCTCTGATTTGTTAGATGATGCAGGTAGAAGTTGTTCTGCAGAAAACCAAAATAAAAATAATAAAAACATTTTGAAGTGGAGCAGGTAGCTTTAAATGTTTGAATATATCTTGATCTTTTAACATTTGTACAAATTAAAAAAAACTGCATTGCCATTAAAAATATAAAGATTCTGATGCTCTGCAGACTCTTTTCATTTCAAGCATTGCAACTTAGCACGATAACTTACATTTAATATAACAGATTATAATAGATTTTATTAAATGCGACTGAAGCTTTTCATACAAAAATATGATGATGAAGAAACAGGTACACCTTCCTCCTAACTCACCCTGGATAAATGCTCTCTTTGCCCACATCGATGGGCTCCTCCACCTCACTTTCGGCCGAGCTGCTGTCCTCACAAGGCCGCTTCATGGTGCGTGAAGGCGGGGAGGGCTGACTGTCTTCTCCCGTGAGGAGGAGACGTGGAGGTTTATTAAAGTTCAAAATAAAGTTTCTTCCCTTCTGAATAACAAAAAACCAAAAGCAAACTCCTTTTCCGATCTTTCCTGTGATATATTTTAGAGAATGAAATGAACCTGAAAGGCGCTGTTTACAGGAGATTTATCCTGATCTTTTCATCCAGGAGTTGGTGAAGTTTCAAGTTAGTTCCCTTCCCAGAAAGTAAAACCGACAGCCACAAAAGTTTTTCCTCTTGCAGAAATATAAAATTAATAATTCATCCCCCCCAAAAAACAACTCAAAAAAGACTTGTAAAAAAAAAAAGAAAAAAAGAACAGTTTTCCGACATCAGCAAACAGAAAAACTGCGGAACATGGTTCAAATCTTCCCTTCTGGCTGTTTTTACTTTCTGCAGTATTTTAAATAATGTTCAGGATTTCTCCGGAGCTTTTCAGATGTTGTTTTCAAGCGGTGAGTGTCCGCTGAATAGTCCGGGGCAGGTGGCCTGTGTGTCGGCTGCAGACTGGACTGGTGGCCGGTGCGTCCTCAGCCGCCTCCTCCTTCTCAGTTGGAGCTTTCCCACGGAGCCTGGGAGCCACACACACACACGCACGCACGCACACAGTGGACCCGCCCACGTGCACTCAAACACAAATTGGAGATGGAAGATTTCTGCAGTCTGCATTCAGGCAGGGCTGGTCCTCCTCTCCTGATAATACCGACTTTTCTGGTTCAGACGGAGTGTGCGCGCGCATGGGAATGAGGCCACTTCTGACGGTCAAAAAATACCCATTATATAAGGCAGAAGGTTTCAGACTGGACTGATGCAGCTGAACCCATCCGTCAACTTTCTTCTTCTTCTTCTTTCTGAGTTGTATGAACTCTGGACTTTTCTTTAACTTCTCTTTAAACTCCTCCACTCTATTTTGGATCTGCTGTTCTCCAGCGGTGGACTTTAGTACATTTAGCCTGCTCAAGAACGAATTTGTGGTTCTTGTACTTCTTTATACTTCTACTGCATCTCAGAGACAAATATTATACTTTGTATTTTCACACCCTTCCTGTCCAGTGAATACCATGTATCTCCAGGTGTTGTGGTAAAGGATGGTAAATTAAAATACCAAATCCTCCTCCTTCTTCAGCTAAATAAACTTTTTAAACCCTCCTTGGATCAGCTGGAAAATACGTCCTCACAGAGCTGAAAGCTGGTTCTCAAACTTTTTCATGTCAACAAACCCCTAGACTGACACAAATTAGACCCAAGGTCCCCCATCTGATAGGATCTTTGTTTTTAGATGTTTAGTTACAGAAAGTGTATGAAACCAATGACCAAACTAGTGACACATTCTGTGATTGTGCTGCAGATTAAAGTACCCGGCAGAATATAAAGGTGTTAAAATTAGTTCTAATGCACTGAACATTTTACTGCACCATAAATACTTTTACTTTAATACTGTAAGTAGATTTTTCAGATTGAATGCAGGACTTTTACTTGTAGTGGAGTATGTTTACCTTGAGGTATTGGTATTTTTAGTAAACTAAAAGATCTCAGTACTTCCTCACTACTGATGGCCTGTAACTGTCGATTAATCAATTCCACCACTTGGGTCCAGAAATATCTCAGCATCTAACAGATGGATTAACATTTTAGAGACACTTACTTTCCCCAGAGGATGATTTATGTAAACCTGGGACCTATTTTCACATATGTTGGTGTTGAAATGACAAAATAATTTGAATCTGTGCAGGAGATGTTTCAGCCGGCAGCTGAACCGGCTGCAGCGGCTACAACATATTCCTTCAGGGCGACTGCGCCCGTCAAAATGGCGTCCACAAAAAGTGCTTCTTTAGGGGTCTGACAACATCTTCGAGGAAAGGATGTTTTTAACAGGAAACTGACGTCTCGCTCTGAAATCTCGAGAGAGGCGAGTTGTTGCAGGAAGATTCCGGTGGAAACGTGAGTCCATGTTGGAGAGAGGAGTTTGTTGTGTTGGAGTAAAGAAAGTCTTGATGCAATTGTCCAGAAGACTTTGCAGCCACTTCAGGCCTCACGCTGCCGGCTGAAGCATCTACTGCAAGGATTCCAAAACCTTTTTGTCCCTATAGTCACTTTGCTAACAAAATATGTGAAAATAGGGCCCAGTTTGGTGACTTTAATTCTCCATGACGTTAAAATTCCCACTTGTCCAACACTTCATGTCAGGATTCCAGAAGTCATCGAGTGAAGACTTGTAAGCAGTTAACGTGCTCGCATGCTCAGTGTGAACTACAGGCCACTATAGTTTTTTGGGGAGCTCATTGTTTTTTTTTACTGGGGGGGGCAGACTGTGATTCTTACTGCTGAATCATTAATAGCAGGCATGTCTGTCTTATATCATGTCTTATAATAATAATAATAATGATAATAATTATAATTATTATCATGACGCTCCTGATTTTACACATGGATCCATGATTATTGAGAAATATAGAGTGTATAAATAAAGCATGCAGTCAATATTTTAGACACCCCAAAATATCACAAATCATGCTTTTGGGGGAGCTCCCCCCTTAGTTCACACCCTGAGCATGCCATGTTAGGATCCTAACATACCGACAGTCCCAGATTTCTGCAGTGGACCGGGTGAGTCTAGAAACACAAAGAGAGAGAGACAGAAATACAAAAAAGAGAGTGAAACAGTGTGTGTGTGTGTGTGTCAGACGTTCCCACAGCTCCTGGCCATGTGTGCTGAAACCCAATCATCGTGTGAGAGAGGTCAGACACACACACACACACACACACAGAGGGGCGGCTGTCTTTTCACACCTGCTAATCTTTTTGCAATACAACAAGGATTTAATGCAGGAATTATAATGCAGGTAGACACACACACACACACACACACACACACACACACGCGCACCTTCCCACAGTTTCTCTGCTCTTTCTTCTTCCTGCTGATAACCTCAGAGAGACTTGTCAGCACCCTCTCATTGGCTGAACTCCTCTTTCTCTGCCTGTTACTAAAATATATCAGCGTCTCTTGACCCTCAGATTATTGCCGCAACACAACAGTGAGTCCATCTACACGACGTCCACTTCATTAAAGCTTTGACCTCGGTGTCGGGTCGCACTTTGTTCAAGAAACGGATCCATTTCATTTTGTTTTTATTTAGAAATGTTAAAATGCAGAAGTGTTTTCATGGTGAACTTGTATAAATGCAGGTGTAACGGACACACCATAAAAAACTGGGAGACTTAAATGTGCATGTCTGTCTGACCGTCATGAGAAAGACCTACACAGTCCACATGTCCAGCAGTCTTATTGGTATTAGACTTTATTGTCCACCTTAGTGGAAATTTGTCTACGCTTTCTGTTTAATGTTTGTCACACATTGAAAACACACACAGTTAAAAGTACAACACCGTAGCACCATAAACCTACAACAACAACTGTGCCATAAACAGAAAATGGAAAGTGGTGTAGCGGATGGAAATAAGGAAGGTTACAACCTACACGAGACACATTTAAAAGTGCTGTCAGTTTGCATTCAGTGCCTGTACGGCATGGAGAAGAAAAGATCTTAAAGATGTGACACACACACACAGACAAACACACTCCGCCTGAACCAGAAAAGTCGGTATTATCAGGAGAGGAGGACCAGCCCTGCAGAGACTGCAGAAATCTCGTGCCGTGAGTGCCAACAGCTCAGAGCTGCAGAAAACCCCCATCTACTGTCTGGAGAGGTCTGGTGAGAGGTGGCCTTCATGGAAGACTCACGGCCAAAAAGCCTCCGACATGGAAACAAGGCCACGCGACTCAACTACGCAGAGAGACAGGAACTGGGGTGCAGAAAATTGCAGCGGGTTCTCTGGACTGAGGAGTCAAAATCTGAAATATTTGGTGGAGAAAAGTACAACAAAGAGTGTCTGCAGGCAACAGTGAAGCATGGTGGAGATTCCTTGCAAGTCTGGGGCTGCATTTCTGCAAACGCAGTCGGTCGACATTAATGGTCTCCTCAATGCCGAGAAGTCCAGGCACATACATGCAGCTCCATCATCTGATTGACCACAGATTTATTCTGCAGCATAATGACAACCCCAAACACACAGTGAAAATCCTTAAGAACTATCTTCAGCTTAAAGAAGAACAAGGAGTCCTGAAAGTGACGGTGTGGCCCCCACAGAGCCCTGATCCCAACATCATCGAGTCTGTCTGGGGTCACATGAAGAGAGAGAAGCAGCTGAGGCTGCTTCAATCCACAGATTAATTAATAAATATAATCTATTAACATGTCAAGTGTCGAAAAGCATTCTTAATTTACAGAATCTTTGCACTCCGGCCTAAAACCTTTGCACAGACCTGTTCGTCTGGAGAAACTTTCCTAAACTATTAGAATCACAGAATGTCAAAGCACAGGTTGTGCCTCATCATCTCAGCTGTGTGCATTTATTATGTGCTTAACTCTCACTTGTATTTAACACACACACCTGTGAAAAACAGAAAACACTTTATTATCACAACATAAATAACACGTCAGCTTCTTATCCAAAACAGTTAGTTCGTAGTGAAAATGTTCACAAGGAAGACATTTTTACTTGCATGTAAAAAAATTTCATATTACACAAACCAGTATAATTTAGCAACTGGTGGGGTGGCGATGAAACAGTCCACAACGTGCACATCCAACGTCCACAGCCGCCAACGTGTAGCTGAGCAAGACCCCTTGTTGCTCCAGAGGCGTTTGACCTCTGACATGTAGATAGCAGTTGTAAGTCGCTTTGGATAAAAGCTGCAAATTACTGTTATATTTACACACAGTGAAATAATTGTAGTATCTGTCATACCGAGTAGAAATCAGAAAACATTATGTTAATCTACAACTAAAACTACAGATGCAATGTTAACAAATGTGAAAAAAATTATTTGATTCCGCCCAGTGATTCGGATCTTCTCCAAAATCGAAGCTGGGCCGCGAGTTTCTCCATAATCCTGCTGACAGACTGACCATAACCCGGTGATGTCAGGGCTTCAGTCTCTCCATTAGACGCTAACAGAGAGTTAACCACCAAAACAGAGCCAGACATTTAGAAATGAAAGTGACGACTACCCCCGCCTTCCTGTCACTCAAACAGTTACTTCCTCTATAAACAAAAGACCAGATTTAAGTTGTATTAAAGTTCAGCATCAACACCCTCTGTTTTGTTTATCGGAGGAAAAACTTAAGCCAAGAAGCTGGCCACTCAGTAAACTGGGATGAAGCGGTTCCCTGATTTCCAGGAGGCGGGGGCTTTAAGGCCGCCCTCGGAGGAAACCCGGTGCTGTGTCGGTGTGATAAAAAACGATGCAGGAAGTCCCGTTATGCGCTACGAGTTGGAGGTTTAAGCGATGCACGATCAGCGAGGTAAATCTACCATGAACGTACTTTTGAGAGTGTGCAGGAGGACCTCTAAACTGTGCTGAAGTACAATCATGGAGGAAACTCACGTTCAAGCATGTTTGCAGATGTTCAGGGTGAGAAGCTGCGGCCAACAACATGTGGATAAAAGCGGTGTGTGTGATGATGATATCAGAGGTTTATTAGTGTCAGGGGTCACGGAGGACAAGCA